TTCTAATAAAACTATTTTTGTATCAATATCTAATATTATTATTTTTTAATTTAGGGTTAACTTTTATCAATTTTTACCGAAAAAATCAAAAGTAATAATAATAACTAGTGGTATTTTTATAAAAAAGTATAGAAGTAAAATCACTAATTAATTGTTTAAAATAAATAACAGTATTAATAATAAGTGTTTTTTATAATAAGTGCTATTTTTCTAAATAACAATTAGTGTTTTTATAGAAAAGAGTGGTAAAACTAACAATTAATTTTTAATAATAATAGTAATAATAATAAATTAAAATAATAATAATAATAATAATGATAGAATAAGAAAATAATAATTAATATGAAGTAATTATAATAATTAATAACAAATAATAATAATTATAATAGAAGAAGAATAAAAAAACAAAACAAAAAGTAAAAGAAGAAAAAAAAGTGGGGGGAAGAATGGACTGGAAGGCGAAAGAGAAAGAAGAGAAAAGAAAAAAGAAGAAAAGAAAAAAAGAAGAAGAAGAAGAAGAAGAAGAAGAAGAAGAAGAAGAAGAAAAGGAGGAGGAGGAGGAGAAGAAGAAGAAGAAGAAGAAGAAGAAGAAGAAGAAGAAGAAGAAGAGGGGGAGGAGAAGAAAAAGAAGATAACGGAAGAAGGGATGCTAACGGAGAGAGTGACGGATTGTCACCCCGGAGTCAATTTTCGAATATCTTAAGGTACCTCGTAGTATATTTTGAAAAACAATGGGACCTGGGAGTTCTTATTACAAAATTAAGGGTACCCAGCAGCAATTTTTTGGAAAATTCCACTGCTACTTATGAAAAGTGTCAAGTGCTTGACATTATTTCTTCCCTCTACATAAACCTAAATTAGAGCGTCTCCAACGCATCATGTATTTTTTGGGCTTCTAGTTACCGGTTTATCTTCCCAACAGTGTTTTAACTATTTATTTTTTTACACTCACTCCAACAAGATCATCTATATTTTAGTCAATCATAATAAATTACAGTACTATATTTAAATTACACCCATTTTTATTACACCTATTTTTAAGGATGAAACAAAGATGGGAGAGAAGATTGTCAAAGATGCTGAGCTTCAGTTACATTGCCTGCATTAAATTACCTACTCAGCAGATATGTTTAGAAGAAAGAAAACAGAAAAGTTGATATCTAGTTCACTAGCACCAGTCACACAGATCCAACGATACACATTTAGTGGTGTTCGCGTGTACTACTCTGTATGATATTGGGAAATTCCATCCGCTATAAAAATTTTGGTTTTTTTGAAAATTTTGTAATGAGCAAATTCCTAGTCATGCATTCACAAATTGTATGCATGGATTGGAGCTTTTATGGATTCATAATACCTGTTAGGGGATTCCTTCTCTCAGCAGGCAACACCGTGATTTGAAACTTTATCAAAAGTTGCAGAGTTTGTTTGTTGTCTACATGAACTTGTCCTGAATCAACTTCTTCAACTCTTCCAGTTTTTGGATGGTTTTGGGGTTCAGTAAATCTCTGGCTTCTCTTAAGAGAGTCCCTTCTCTGCTGAAGTGATATGCGTCTGATATGATCTTTATCCAATTGCACAGCTGCTCCGGGGTCCTATCATCACCAAAAACAACAATCCAGTCAAGAGTTCCCTAATAACCACGTACGAGAAGCTAAATGCGAGATTTTTTTCATACACGAAAACACATCATTTTTTTTAATAAAAACTTAAACTAGATGGGAGAAAAATAGTCCATTTGTAGCATGGTTGTCACATGGAAGCTGTGTAATTGGAATTTGTTTAGAAGGGAGAGAAACAATATCAAACACAAAATTCTTTCCGAAAAAGAAATGAGAAAAAAAATTGGGCTAACACAAAAAGGAAACAGGACAAAAAGTATGGGGTGGAGGGAGTAGAAATTAGAGAAGAGTTGAAGACATACGTATATAGGAAGTCCACATCATTTCCTTCAAGTTCCTCCCCTGGTGTGAAAGCATCTTTTAAAGCACAAATATGCTCCTCTGGATCTTTAATTGAAAGCAGATACTTAAGTATTCTAATCTCTTTTGGCATAAGCTTTTGCATGCTTCCTACTGCTGCCTTATATAAATGGTACATAATGTCTTTTGCCTGGTAAAGTTCAAAGAAACATTAGTTGATTTTCTATTTCTGATATGGTTCATAATAGAGAAGACTTCCTCATATTTGCAGGAAAGAAATGATGGAAATTTAAACAGGGAGAGAAGGCTGAACTCACCTCAGTTTTAGTCATGTCCGACTCCTTAGCAGCTGACCAAGCTTTGGTAATCAGGAGGGCCAAAGCGGGGTCAAGTTGATTCTTATTGGCCAGGTCATCTATTTTCCTGTAAGCAGCATCCACGGACGGCGAATTGATTATATCTTTCAGTTTCAGCTCTGCAGCATTCAATGACTTTATACTTTCAGTTGCAGCATCATAGGCTTGTACAGCAGCCAAACAATCATTACCCAGCTTTGCAACAGCTTATGATCACAAAACAAAAGAGAAAATGAAAGCATATTATCAGTAAATAAAATCTTGGGCATGAAAAAACAAATCCTAGATATGGAATATGAACTGTCAAAATGTTAACAGAAAAAAAAAATCCATCCCAGGCAACCACATTATCAGTAAAATGTTGGCAAGGAGAACAAATTACCAAAATTAGAGACAACAAAAGTTGCATATTAAGGAGTTAGATTAGATAAAACTCATAAAACAAGGTCACTTCGGCACAGGAAAGTAACAGTACCTAGTTTTGTTGCAAAGCAGCTTTTAGTAAACTATATAAAGGCACAAGCTTTAACACGCAAAGACATATGTATATTTAAGCAGAGCAATGTGTTTATTGTTTCATTTGAACCTAAAGGAATTTAGAATAGATTATGAATTTTTTTTGTGGCATGGTACCATTAGTTAATAATTCAATTATCAATTGGATTGATATCACATTGATTCCTACAAATGGCTTACCATTTTGTTCTTCTGGATTGTCATAATATGATTCTGCCACGATGTTAACATGGAAGAAGAATTCTTCAGTAAAATCTTTACGATGCCGAGCAACAATCTCACTAATCTCAGAAGGAGAATTTCTTATGGCCTCGAGAAGTTCATTATGCCTTTGAACATCGCTATCAATCTGAAAAGGAATCTTCTGGTTAGTATTTTACAACAAACAAACACACACACACACAAAGAGAAAAGACCAATGGCACAACTGTTGAATATGCCTCAGGAGCCGTTTTTTCATAAAGCATAAGTTTCAGGTACGGGAGCGATTACCTCCTTCAGCTTCCTTCCAAGCCGAAGTAGCTTATGTTTCATCTGAAAATCACCTTCTTTCTCCGCTCGATCCTGACAACGCTCAAAAAAGTGAGGTCTGATATTGCTCCACTCCCTGCTAAACGCTATTAATCTCTTCCAATCAGTTGGAGTCGGCTTATCTACCAGGAAGACCTCAATTAACTTGTCACAGACTCGGATCTTATTATTCACACTCTCAACAGAGCCCCCTTCCGCATATTCCTCTTTTGCATCAGCTTTATAGCCAGCAGTGATAGGGGTAGGGTCTTCTATACAAGATATGTGTCCTTTATTATAGTCACTTGTTAGTTCACCAGTGCCGGCAACAAGAGCTTGAAGAGGGTATGGTTGCAACCTCATTTTTTGAAAGAACAAACCTAATACCAAGGACAAAAAAACATGTTTGGGCAAAATGCTTTCATAATTTTCTCAACACTATTAGAATCATGAAATTTGAGCAGGTATGGGGAAAAAATCAGACAACTAGTAAGGGAAGGAAGTCATAACAAGATCGTGATCAACTTCCAAAGTACAAAGCGCTATTGCACTACTTTCTAGCTTTTAACTGGCATAAGTATGAAACAATGAAAATCATAAGCTATGAACACAAATGAAATGACATAAACCTTCTAGATGCAATGTGGCGATTCTAATGCAGAGCAATGGTTGATGCAGCATCATTGGATGTGAAACCCGCATCATTACATATTATCAAATGCAAGCCACGAAGAATTATTACGTACTGTGATTTCAAGTTTTAAACCTTGATTGTGAAACTTGAACTAAACTCCAGGTACCTTTCATGTCATTTTTACCTTTTGATTTTCAAAAGTACAGATAACCATTTCCCACACTATGACAGCAATGAATTAAAGTCAACAAAAAGAAATGCAAACACTGAAGACAGATAATCTCCCAGTTCATTTCTACCAAAAGCTAATTCCAATTTCAATTCCAAGCCCTAAATAATCTCACCTGATCAACAACTCATAAATCAACCGAAATTCCAATAAGGATAAAAATAAATACGATAGAAATGGTGTTTTTCTGTGCGCCTCCTATACAGAATAACCGTGAGCGAGCAGCTTACCAAGGGACTGAGATGTAGGACAAGGCAAACGCCGCCGAAGAGGTGAACATGAGACGACGGAGAGCGGCCGGGAGAAGGTTCGAGAAGCAAAACACGGGCACGCAGAGGCGGAGGACCAGGTTAACTCCATTCCCATTGGCCACGCTAGAATACGCCTTCTTCCCCTATGGAGTGTCAAATAGTGCACCGTCTTTCAACAACGACAATCCTATAGCAGGATAGTCATAAGTTTTGACGAACTGGGGAGTAAGAGTTATCTCTTACCTCTGTCTTATCCGCCTGGTTTAGCGGGTGAGTACGCCAGAGACGACAGAAAGACGGCTAGGTAGAGGCCGCTAAGTAGGTGTGAGTTTTGGAGAGAATTAGGGCGGTTTTGGGAATAGCTTTAGAGATTAACGTTAGCGTTTTGGATAAAATTTTAACGGTGCAGATTACTTTGAAAATGCTAACGCTAAACGCTGCCCGTAGATAGCCTTTTCAAAACGCTTAACGCTAATCACTAACGCTATTCCCAAACAGGCCCTTAAGCTATTTGTATCTAAAATTTGTACTTTTGTATCTAAAATTTGTATCTAAGGTGATGATTCACAAAGTCACAAATTTTTGTGTAATTTTTTTATTGCACTAGGATTTTATATTAATGTGAACTTTAGTATAAGTTTGAGGTACACTTCTTGTGTAATTGTAGCATGGTTGAGTAGTTTAGAAGATCATGAATTTTGAAATATGGAAAAAAAATGATATGGGTTTCGAAATTTGAATTAAAGTTTTTTTAATGATTTTTAAAATCACGATTTAATTAGTGATTGGCAGAGGATCGCCAACAACGGAGGTGGTTAGCAGTGGTAGTGGTAGCATGTAAAGGAGATGGTCTAAGGTTAAGTAGGATATCAAATACCCAAATCGATATCTTCCAAATTTGGCAGATGTCGAAACCTCTATTTGGAGGATTTGTGATATGTAAATGTATCAAATTCTAATTCTTTTTTAAGACTCATCAAACACCCAAAAAAATTGATACTGTGAGATATAGAAACCCATATCTCCTACGTTCATCAAATAGGCCTTAAGAGCATTTACAATGATCCCAAAATTTGTCATGCCCCAACTTCTGTCATGTTAGAATTTTAGTAACTTTTCGTTCCGGTAAATAAGATAGATTCTTCTATTCCCTTATCTATGTCGTCCAATTACTCTCTTCAACCATTTGAAAGCTTCTCGCCCATTTCTATTGCATTTGTCGTTAAAGTGGAGTATAAAAATTAATTTCAAAATTTCATGAATATGTGAGAGCTGAGAAGTGAACAGAATAGTAAAGAATAATTAAAGGGCTTGTTTGGAAATACATTAAACACTAGACTTAATATTTTGAAAAGACTATCCAATGGCAACATTGTCAAATGTACACCACTAAAATCACCTAATAATTCATACAAATTGTCCCTTGAAACAAACCATAGTACCACAGTTTTGGCAAAATTAAAAATGTACTCTGTATTTATCATTCTATTACACGGGAACGTCCGTCCTTGCCCACATTAAAATAAATTACACAAATCAAAATGTCTGTAAATTTTTCCTTTCAAAAAAAGTGACTAAAAAAGAACTAAAAATAGCCACACAAATGATCTGAACAACACACATTCCAAGTGGTAATTGACATTTAAAAGTTCACAATGGATGGGATATAAAAGAAGTCTCCCATAAGAAAAGGGTTCTTCAGTAACAGCTCACCGGCAGTTTTCTTCTTCTAGACCACCCATCCTGAAAAAAAGTCGGTGCCGAATTGTGCTGTTGGTGTGTGTCTATTCAGAAGCAAACCTTATTGTGAGTTTCCCACCATAGAGCAAAGATTGGCCATGTAAATGTTCCATAGCTATATTCTCTAAGATGTCTTCTCAAGAACAATGCACCAATTTGATTTATCATAGAATCTATCGGCAATGACAGCATTATCCAAACCTGATACCAGCCTGGAGAAAAAAAGGTGGAAAAAAGAACTATATAACCTCAGAAAAATGAACAAATTTCACAGACCATGTTGTTATGTTATGCTCCCACTGTCCTATAAAAAAGTTAACTAAAACTAAAAGGCGGAATCTTTGTGGAACAGAGGAGCGTTTGATTTCTTAAAACACCATGCCAGATACACTAATGAAATGTCCATAGAACACGGGCACACAACAATGGAGATTTAGAGATTATATAGAAACAGAGAATAATGTGCTGCTCTAAGACAATGTCAATTGTCCAGCTTTAGACTACAGTTATAAAAAAAATATTGGACTAGACTTCACTCAAGTTTTTAAAACTTGTTTTACTGATATAGAATTAAATATTTGATGATTATACAGAAAACAACTACTAGTAGATAATTTATACTCCGTAATTCTCATACACTAGTTTGAGAATAACAAACTATTGTCCCATTTGATGGATATAATTTCTGGACTCAATAGTTATCACCTATGTTTATCAGTCTAACAGAAAATGACTCTTTTTTCTCAAAGGGTAAAGGTTGGGTACATCATGACCTCCCCAAACCCCAACATAGTTGAGAAAATGTTGGGATTGTTGTTGACTTGTTGTTGTACCCTCATAGTCACTTCGTTCACCACTCACTCTTTTCCATATATTTTGGTCAAATTGTGTGGTAAAAAGTACTCCGTAGTTAAACTTCATACTTAGACATCATTTGTTCAAATTACTAATACGATGTGAAATTTTAGGTCATCTCAAGCTTAGAAAAAATCATTTAGGTCATTGCAGCACGTACACCCAAAAAAATGCCCAATGACGGTTACTCATAACAGATCACAGTATCATTCAGAATGGCACTCCGCATGCTAATATTTTACCCATTTAAGCTATTATATGAGCATTTTCGTCTTGTCTGGTTTATTGACATTGATCTCTACTTTCAAAATACACAAGCAGTAAACAAAGTAAAATCAGATAAAAGGCCATATAAACTACAGCTTGTAACCCTTAAAGGGCTTTAAAAATAAAAGTAATGATAATAAGTGTTAATATGCCAGAGAAATAAAAGGAACAACATCATTAGCATTTATTAACCAAGACAAACTAAAAGTGCAGGATGCATTACCTTTCTAGTTCACCTTCACTAAAAACATGATAATATCTGTTATACACGACAGCACCCTTCTTGTCATCTTTCTTTGCCAGTCCACTCGCAATGGCAGAAGCAGAAGCACCACTCACTTCAGCTCGGTGATAGGGTAAATGCCAAGGAACAAAAAACTCCTGCTGCTCTTCTACAGAAGAACCATTTCCAGTTCCAGAAAACAAATGCCCATTTTCCTCAGTCTCGGGAATGCTTTCAAGAGAGCGAGAAGATGAACTGCGGATCTGAGGGCTGCTTGGCGCCACCCATTCCTCTAAATACTTGTCTGTAAGTGGCGTCCATTTCTTAACCAAAGATCCATCTTCCTGTTCCCTAGCCCAAACCGTGATCAAAACCAGGCCTCCCCTTTTAACCACGCGTACCAATTCTTCTACTGCTTTCTTCCTCCTTGTTTCCGTGCTCAAGTGATGCAAGACGGCGATTGAAATTGCAGCATCGCCATAGCCAGATCTATAAGGGAGGTTAACAGCATCTGCAACTAAAACCTCGTGTCCCCCATCAGCACATATGTTCACAAGCGGAGCACTAATATCACACCCAATGAAGAAGCAATTGGGGTTCAATCCCAAGTACTTTCCATTGCCGCAGCCGGCATCCAAAACAAGGGAACCCATCGGCAAAGAATTCAAGAAAACAGACACTTTCGGCCACTTGGCAAACCTAGTTGAGCTGAAATGCGGAGCAATTGCATCATAAACACTATGAACATACTTTTTCTCGACTTCCGGCGTGGATTGAACATGCGATCCAGGAACGCCGTCGATTCCAGCTTCACTCATGGTTCTGAAACAGCCTCCACCGCCAACAAAAGTATTGTTACAATAACCTAAAACAACAGACTGCGCAATCCCTTTTCCTGAAAGCAGATTTACAGCTCCTAAAGAGCGTAGAAGCATAACAAGTTAAAGATCATAACAGCAAGGAAGAAGATGAAGAAATTGGAGTTCAGACCGTAGCCAGAGAGTGGTCGCGCGGAGGAGTTTGAAGTGTGAGTTTATATTCAAGCGGGCTAGGTGCGCCGCGAAGGGCGGGGGTGAATCTGTGGCGATGGGTTTCCGGGCTCGGGTTGGTCCGCATTACAGATTACGGAGTAGGGTAATAAGAATACGGGTCTCCCTTGAGAAAAATATTCTCTTCAATTTAATTTTTTATTTATTACATCATTTTATCTCAAGTATTTGTTTATTTTTAGAATTTTCACGATCAAAATTGGTAAACTTTGACCTCAAATTAAATAAAAATGATATTAAATATTAATACAAAAATAATTTTATTAGATTTATTATATTAAATATATTTAAAATATTATTCTATCTAATTAATATACAATATATATTTTATTTAATTATTGATTAAAGGTTGAAAACAGTTGACTGAAAAAAATCAAAATTGGACAAATACTCCGGGGCAGAGGTAGTACTTATTTTTATTGGAATTAGATCAGATCAGATCAAAAATATGTTTAAATATTACTACATTCAAATCAGATAAGAACCAATCAGATCAGGTAAAGAGAACATGACCTTACAGGCTATATTGGTTTGTCCAATAATGTACATGTGTTCAACATTCTATCCAGTGACATGTGGTTAAAAATTCTTAGAACTTGTTCTTTAGGACTGGAAAAAAAAATTGGATGTTAAAAGACACTAGAAGAAACTTGAAGAAACTTGAAGAAATTGAAAGGAACGAGAAGAAACTAGAAAAACATCAAAAAATTGGAAAACCTTATAAATATTTAAAATTTATTTTAGTGTATTTTTATATTATTCTCATTCTAATTCTTGTTGTTATAAATTATTATTATTATTATTATTATTATTATTATTATTATTATTATTATTATTATCATCAGTGTCATCATCATCATCACGTTACATTAATGAATGCTTTTAACATAAAAAAAAAAGTATTGTTATTTTTCATACACAAAAAAACTATTTTGCAAAAATATAATTATAATATAAAGTTAGCATAAATATTAAAATATTTTTTAAAAAAGTTGTTGTGGTTACATTGCACCTCAATTTATTTATGTACTATTTATTATAAATAATATATTTGTAATTTATACTTATATATTAAAATATATTTTTAATGTCAGGCATGTCACATGATGTAATTGAACTTATTTCTTTTTCTTTCATGATTGACATTTTATTTTCATTGTAACTCCTATTTTTGGAATAAAGACATAGAATTTTTTTTAACATATGTTTTACTCTATTTTAGTCTTTTTCTCTAAACTATTTTGACTTTCAATTTTTTTCATAAAAATTAGTAAAAATGAGAAAAATTTGAGTAATAAAGGGAAAGCTGAGGGGCATTATATAAAGTTAGATTAATAAAACATTCTATGTAACTATTTATCTGTAATTATTTAATATAGGTTAAAATATTGATGTTTTCCTATATTATCATGTAGATTAATATACAAAAAAAATTGTCTTATTCATATTAAAAAGTTGAAAAAAAGTAATGAGTGAATCGTAGAAATGGTGAGATGAAAAAATAATTAATAAACTATAGCTATGAACATAACAGATGTAATATTATAAAAAATATCGTGTATACAAATAAGTATTGTTGCACATTTATTCTTAAAATCAATGCTACAAATAAGTATTGAACGAGAGGAATAGCAGCCGCCGTTGCTTGTCGGGCAATTTCACGTTGCATCTCCGCTTGGATGTAAGGCAAATACCTATGGGCTTTGTTTGGATGTTGGCTGTCAGCTATTGGCTGTTGGCAGTTCGTGCCAGCTGTTGTGAATGTCTGTTTAGTTTAGCTGATTTGGCTAGCAGAATGAATTGGCTGATCGTTAAAAATGTTTGATATAATTAGCTGTTTGAAAATAGTTTTTCATTCACACACACACACACATATATATATATATGTATGTATGTATATATATATATATGTATATATATATATATCTATATATATATATATATATAATATATACATATACATATACATATACATACATATCTATACATACATACGTATATATATATATATATATATATATATATAGACACACACACGATATTTATTTTTCATTTTTTACATGTAAAAATTAAATCTTTACTATATGGAGTATTAAATTTTAATTTCATTTAATTCATAATAAATTATAAATATAATTTTTTTTAATGATTTTTGCTTTTTATTTTCTCATTTCATTTTTTGAAATTTTTTAATTTTAAATTTTACTCCCTCCGTCCCTAAATAAACTTCCCCTTTCGTTTTTTCTTTGTCCCCAAATAAACTTCTTTTTTCCCTTAAAAAACCCGTTTTACCCCTTACCTTTTAATACCCTACCTATCACATCATACCTTTTTACTAATAATCTACCTATCACATCTTACTTTTACACATCACATCAAGAGTATTTTTGGAAAGTCAACACAAATATACCTCTCTTAAATCTTCAAAAAGTCAAAAATGGAAGTTTATTTAGGGACGGAGGGAGTATTTTTTTAGTATTTATTTTTTTTTTAATTTTTATTTTTATTTTTTACATATATTATAAAATATCTTTCAACAAAAATGATTTTAAAAAAATTATTTTTCCTAACCGCCAAGTCCAAATGCTACTCCCCTTGACATTTCAGATTTTGGCTTTTCGGATCAAGATGCCAAGTGAAAAAACCATTAGCCAAACAATGATTTTGGCGGTTCGCTTGGTCAAAAAAACCAAAGTCAGTAAAAGATGCCAAAAGTTATCCCAAATGCTGTTTTCCAAATACGGCCATGGTACGCCGCAATTAGCATATTCACGACCCATCATCTACTGTAGAGAAAGCCATTTTTTATTTGTGAGAGACGAAGAGAAATTAAGAAAATAAGAAAATGGAGAGAAATGAGATTAGATGAATTAAAGTGGAAAATGTGTTAGAATTTATTGGGTTGAAAAATTCAGCCCCAAATGGAGCATGGCTTTGCTCCGCGGTTGTGGTGAGCGCCCAAGAGAGAGGAGTATGAAAGGACATTCTTCAAAAGGTAAAGCTATTTCTACCCCCAATGATTTGTACCTTTGGTATACATAATGAATTACTCCCTCCGTCCTATAATGATTTTCCCTGAGCACTATTCCAACTTCACGGCAATTTATATTTATTTGTATTTTTTCATGGCCTATATGATAAAATAAAATATTATTGTCACCACTTGTTTTGTTAAACTTTTGATGTAGTTTTTAAATATATATGTTTTATTTTTTATTTCTATACCAATATTTAAATAAAATAGATTGAAAAACTTGGGATTTTTCTTCGTTTTGCGAACCGGGAAGATCATTATAGAACGGAGGGAGTAGAAATTTTGGTGTACATGTAGCATTCTCCTTCTTCAAAATGGAGAATTACTTTGAGATACTCCCTCCATCCCAAATTATTTGTCACATTTGCTTTTTCAACAGTCGCGAAAACTTTTGTTTATTTTTACGTTTTTATTAGTTATTTGATAAAATAAAATATTCTTGACACCTCTTATTTTGAAGAATTTTTCATGTAGTTTTTTTATATATAATTTTTATTTTTTATTTCTTTACTAATTTGTAAATAAAATGAATTGAAAAAACTTAATATTTTGCTTTGGTAATAGAAATGTGACAAATAATCTGGGAGGAGAGAGTAATATAAATACCAAACGCAGCCAAACTACTGCCAAATTGTAAGTGTAAACAATAAATTAAATACGATGAGAGCAGTGAGAAGGCTTTATTCTGTCACGCACAGACTCGTATCCCTTTTCTTCTCCGCCTACCTCCCACTAGCTCTCAAGATCTTTTTACTCGCCTTAATCGTCCTTTTCACCGCCGGCGAACGCGCAACCGCCGCCCACACCTTCAGCGCCGCCATCAAGGAGCGGACTTCCCGGTTTGTCTACACCAATCACAACAATAAAAACAAGGTCAAGCGGTTCTTTTCCCGCGGCCGGGGCAGTTCTACCCCGGCCCAGCAGCCCCGACCGCCGCCGGAGTGTGCGATCTGCTTGGAGGATTTCGTGGAGGGAGAGGCGGGGACGGAGCTGGAGAGGTGCGGGCACAAGTTCCACGCGAGCTGCGTCGGGAGGTGGCTGCTGCGGTGCGGGAATTGGCGCGTGAGCTGCCCGCTCTGCCGCGTCCCGGTGGTGTGCGAACACGTCGCCGCCGTCATGGAAGAGCGTCAGAGGCTAGAGAAGAGGGAAGGACCCGGCTGCCGGCGGCGCGTGGTTAGTACGGCCATGGAGGGAGAGTTGTGCCTTCTGTTGCTTCCAGGCTTGAATTTTCAGTCATTCCATTATATTGTTGGACAGATTAATAATTCTAGTCTAGTATAGTATAGAATCTTTAGTTTATTAAAAAGATTATTTAACAATAATAATGTTTAATGGTAGTATTTTACTTTTCGTCCCATAAACTCCTTTTTTTCTTTGTCCCTCAAAGTCTTTTCCATTGTTATTAAAAAAATTACTTTTAGTTCTTTAATTTTTATCCTATCTATCACATCTATCTTTTTACTAATAATCTACTCATTACATCTCACTTTTAGTCATCACATCAAAAATATTTTTTAGAAAGTCAACACAAAAATTTCTCTCTTTAATTTTCCTAAAAATTAAAATGGCAAGGTCTTTAAGAGACAGAAGAATTACAAGATTAATCTACATGCACCATTAAAATTTATCGATAAGACATTAATTAAGATTATTATTTTCAAACAAGGTCATAGACTCATAGTTGGAAAGTGGAAATATTATTTGACTCATTTGAAAAAGACTATAGGACTATTTTAAGTTGATTTTTGTCTTGCTCATAGAATGTACACGAGTAAATAGATTTTTTTAATAGATTGTAGACAAAGACAATATAATGCAAGAACATTTAAAAAAGATAGATTTTATGTCGGTGAAGTCGTGATCTTCACGAAGAGAAGTAACACGTGGAGTTTTAAATTCAATCAAATGAGTGAGGTGTATTTTAGCAATTGACATAAAAACATTAAAAGAGAGAGATTTTGAGTTCGGAGTCAATAACCATGCATGAGGTCTCTTACAATACACAAAAGTTTACTCATATGCAGGGGCGGATCTACAGCATTGCATATGGGGGCAGCTGCCCCCAGTGAATTTTTTTTTTTAAATATATATATATGTATAGTTTTAATGTTATATATAATTGCCCCCAATTAAAAAAAAATCTGCCCCCACTGGCCCAAAACAATTAAATAGGCTAGAGACCCATCCAAAATTAGCCCAATCCAAATTCCCAAAAATTAAAAAGAATTTCCCCCCTTCCCTTTGCTTTTGGAGAAATCGAGAAGAGGAGCGGAGCAATTGAAGACCGATTCTGCTGATTGCCGAACAGCCTGAACAGTCCGTCGTGTCGCCGTCGCCCGTCCGCCGCGTCGCCGCCGAGCAGCACCGAGCAGTCGAGCACCAGCTACCAGGCACCAGGTATTTCCAAATAATTTTGTCTCCTTTTTTAAATTGTGAACTAAATAATTATGTAAATCTGAAAATTAGATTTATGTGTAATTTGTGAAACCTTTTGAATAATTTGTTTTTATATTTCAATTTTCTATTTGATGAAATTGTTTCTAATGTTGAATTCTTGATTATTATTAATTATAATTTATAATTGTCCCAAAACATATGAATTGATGACTCTAGTCTCTAAAAATATATTAATTCTCAATTGAAATATTTAAATAATTTTCTCTAATTTTTGGACATAGATTTAGTAAAAAAGTATATTTCATTTTATGTTTTTAGATAATGGAGAAGTTTTTTAAACGGAAGTCCCCCTCAACACCGANTTCAATAGTTAAAGAAATAGATTTAAGTGATTTTCTGTGGGATCCTTCAGACAAAAAAAAGATTTTAGAGTATCACCCTAATCAAAGAGATGAAATAAGAAGAAAATATTTGATTAGAGGACCGTGTCAACCGCGTGGCCATGATTTTCAGTCAAACATCGTAAACTGAAACAGGCGCTATAAATTAAATTGGGACGGATGGAGTATAATTTTACTAATTTTAAAATATTTTGTTTTTCTTATTTTAAATTTGTTTGATATAAAATTAATTTTTTCATCATGATATAAAGTACATTTTAAAAAAAAAAACCGGGGGCTCTGCCCCCGAACCCCCGCTTTGCTATGCTGCTCCCAGTCATTCACAATCCTGGATCCGCCACTGCTCATATGCCAAGTATTTTATATTATAGCTCAATATACTTACTCTTAGCTAACTGTCTGACCAGTATTGAGGGACCTTGGGGTTGGAGTTTATTCTTTTTTTATTCAATTAAATTCACTTCGAAACACAATACTAAAATACAGAATATACATTACTTCATACGTCCCTGATAATATTTTATGTTTTAATTTTTGAGAGGAGAAATTGTAGACGTTTGACCAAATGCAAATGACGTCAATTGACACGAATATAATTTGGAAAATATTAGAATGCATGAGAAGTACGAATGAAGAAGAAAATTGAGACATATATGTTAAGTTAGATTTAGAAAAATAAGGGGATTAATATCTAATTATGCCAAATGATTTTTTTAAACAAGTGAAAATGAAAAGGAAAAGAATTTTAAGGCCGGTGGAAGTATTATTTTGGCCTCATTTTACTTTTTTTGTCCATTTCATTGTTTTTTTGTCTATTTTATTTAAAAAAATTGGAAAAAAACTGGAAGAACAGGAAGGAACTGGAAGAAACTGTAAGGAACTGGAAAAAATTAGAAAAACTTCAAAAAATTAGAAAACCTAAAAAAATTTAAAAAAAAAAATTAAATAATTGTTTTTATAAATTATTATTATGATTATGATTATGATTATGATTATTATTATCATCATCATCATCACGTTATCTAAACAAATGCCTTTAAAATACAAAAAAAGTATTTTTATTTTTCAAATACAAAAAAACTGCTTTTGTAAAAAAAAGATTATAAAGTTAGCATAAATGTAAAAATATTACATTTTAAAAAGTTTTTGTGGTTACGTTGCACCTAATTTTTCTTTCATGATTGACAATTTATTTTCATTGAAGTCTTATTTTTGGAATAAAGACATAGAACTTTTTTTTACCTTTTTTATGTTTTACTCCTATTTTCATCTTTTCTCTAAACTATTTTGACTTTCATTTTTTTATATAAAAATTAGAAAAATGAGAAAATTTCAAGTAATGAAGGGAAAGGTGAGAGGCCTTAAATAAAGTTAGATTAATAAAATATTCTATGTCACTATTTTATCCATAATTTTTTAACATATATAGGTTAACATATTGATGTTTTCTTGTTTTATCATGTAGATTAATATACAAAAAAAATTGTCTTGTTCATATTAAAAAGTTGAAGAAAAATAATGTATGTGAATCGTAAAAATAGTGAGATGAAAAAAATAATTAATAAACTATAGTTATGAACATAACAATTGTAATACTACGTAGTAATAATAATAATCACATTAAAAATATATCGTTTTTAGAGTAATTGGTTGGAGAGTAGAGAGAGTTTGAAAAAAATGAGAATAGTTGGAAGAAAATGGAAGGAACTGGAAGAAAATGGAAGATCAAACACATGATAATATCTCTCATACGATAGAGGTGGCATTGGACTACAAGATCCTTGAAGTTCACAATCATTTCTATTTTATCTAGTACTGTATGTAGTAATTTTTAATGTAAATATCAGCGGTACAAATTTGCTTTTCTCAATTCATATCACTCCCTCAGGGCTCAAAAATAATAGAATGGATAAAGTAGTTCACTTAGGGGTTGTTTGACAACTTCTGAATAGGTAAGTGCTGAATCAGTAAGAGATCTGAACCATTAAGTACTGAACCAGTAAGAGGTCTAAACCATTACGAGCTAGTATATTGCTTAACTATTTAGAGGCAAATGTCTGATCAATTCAGATAAAAGGTCTTAACGATTCAGACTCTGTATAATACTTAACCATTTAGAGGCAAATGTCTGAACCATTCAGACATCTGAACCATTAAGAGGTTGAAACAAACAGTCTGAACCATTAAGTGCTGAACCATTCAGACATCTGAACCATTAAGAGGCTGAAACAAACAGCCCCTTAGCTTAAAGGATTCAATTCGTTTAGTTTAAAACCAATATACGGGATACAAATAGTACCAAATTACGTCTTCAACAAATAAAAATTATACAGAGTCCACTACTCCACTCTGTGTCCCAAATTAAATTACATGTTTACTATTCACAAAATCAAACTTTATTGATAATCTTTAATTATTTTTACTACCTATTTGATAAAAGATATAATCATGTCACTCATGTTTAATTTCGAAGAGATTTAATGTACTCCGTAATTTTTAAATATATAAATTTTATTTTTTAAATATACCTCAAGTCTAAAAGATTGAATTAAAAATGAGTTTTAAATACACCAAAGTAGACATATAAAAATGTGATGGGGGAGTAGTTAGTTAGTATTTCGAGCTTACCATTGGTTGTTCTCTTCTGAAATGACTATAATAAGACTAATTGTGCTGAGTCTCTAGATAAGTTCATCTTTTTCTTTTTGAAATGAGGACATTGGTTGAATTTTCGTTGTAATTTCTCTACAAATTCGCGTTGAATTTTCAGTTTAAACGGAGTATTCCTTAGCTGGCGGCCTGGATTTTTGGTGTCTACCACTTGCTTGAATCTTCGTTTACGTCTTGAAAGTCTTCTTCCTACCACCTAGGATTTGTAGGCGTATATCACTTGGATCGGAATACACTAAATTGCACATCAATGATTTAAATGGGCACATTTTTAAGTCACACTAACATAAAATGTTCATGCAAAAATTTTGTGATCGTACTGATATTTTGTACCATTTCGTGTTATCTGAATGTTAATACAAACCCCTAATGTATAATTGGATGTCAACTAAGACCATTTTCTTTTGGGTTAAAAAATTTAACTTCTAACTTTTTTTAATTTCTTTTATCTTCTTCTAAGTATTTTCAGTTCCTTCCAGCTCTTTCTAATTTCTTTCAACAACGACTTACAAAGGATATTTGTATATGACGAATATACAAGAATATTATACATCTAAATTAATAACATATCACTTCAAACATGGACAAAGATAAATTCTTTTTTATCTAATATTAGAGTTTTCCTACAAATTTATCTGGATGATCATTTAATTGAGTGATTTTTTATATTAATACTTTAATTCTTTTAACATTTCTGCTAACTTTTTCTAGTTTTTTTAACTCTTTACCGTTTTTTCAACTTTTTCGAGTTTTTTTAATTTTTTCTAACATCCAATTCTGAATTTGAGTCCAAAAGAACACGATGTAAGTGTTGTGAAAGTTGTAATTTCTTCCTAGAAGTAGTACGGTGTATTCACCTCGTTTGGTAAATGGTGTTTTCACCAAAATTTCCCTTTAGGGATATGTATGTCGGTTTGACTTAAGGTAAAAGTTTTTTTTTTTTTTTGTGTGTTTGGCAGTTAGCTCAGCAGTTAGAAACTTAGAATAGCTTCTAAAATTAAGATGCCAATTTTGAAAACTCTAGGCCTCTAGGGTGTGTATCCTTTCTCTTTGGTTGTGAGAAAATTTTGGTTTTTTTTATATTTATTGATTTTTTTATTAAAATTAAATAATAAATAATCACTTTTAATAATTTTAAGAATATGTCCATCATTTAAATACAAATAAATTGTATTTTCAAGTTTACCTTTTTAATTTATCTTTCTTCCATTGGAATTACAAACTTTTTGAGAAATTAAATATCACTTTTTGAAAAGATAAAATAAATATATACCTCTCTAATATAACTACTATCATTGGATTGAGCTGCTCTTACCAGTAAACTAGAATCACCACAAATTTTTTCCCTCACATTTCATATTCACTCATCTCTCTACATATCCACATAAAAAAGTGTGTGGTGGAGAGTTTAATTGTATACACTTTTGGTGTATTATTAACATTTTTGTTTTTTCATACTCGATGCATTTTTTATGGAAATGTTAGAACTTGATCAGATTAATTTTTTTGGAAATTTTGAAAAATAACTATACCGCAGTTTTTTCAAAAATTTGGGAGAAAAAGTACAGTATCATTTTAAGTACAGTATCATTTTAAGTTGTTTTTATTATCTTGTTGTGGTTTTTTATATTTGTCGTGTGTATTGTTCGTTTTGGTCATTTAAATAGTTTGCATCTTTGTCATAATTTAAGAAATTGAATCAATTATAATAACACATCAATTAACATTAATTTTCGCTACAAATAGTTTTTTATGAACAACTAAATTTACAAAATAATTCTTATTAACTAATAACATAATCATCCCGTCAAAGTATATAACTAAATCAGTCAAAACAAAAAGCCAATAGCAAACCGAGAATTCTATATTTGTTTTTACTTTTTCTTACTCGCTCGCAAATGCTATTGTAGACATAAGATCTACACCATTTTACTAACTGGCAAGTATTTTTTGTAAAATATTGCAAAAAATGTTTATCAGGGTAATAAGCATTTGCTTATCACACGCATATGAAAGCCCTCCTAAAATGGTGTGAACATTAGATTAATCCAAGTATTGTCACAAGCGTACTCCAAGTCTCCAACTCACAGATTTTAGTGCATGCCATCAAAGTGTAAGCACAATATTACATAAAACAAGCTCATATATTAGCTGTTTTGAATAAGGCATTCATTATATGTTTATTATTTCAAATATTCTATCTATCCTTTATACTCCATATGTTCCAAATTTGATTGCAATCTTTTTTCTCTCTCTTTTTGATAACTTATGTTTATCTATGTGTTTTTACTAATTATTTAATAAAATAAAATATTCTTGTCACATATTATTTTGAATATCTTTTGATGTAGTTTTTAATGTGTAATTTATTTTTTATTGATGTAAAAATTTGTAAATTAAATAATTTCAAAAGATACAATATGTTTTACCTCATAAATTCGAATTTGTAATTAAATTTGGGAGGAGGGAGTATATCTTTCCAAATAATATTCACAAAGTCAAACGTAACTCTTTTTGTTTACTACTTAATAAAAGTCTAGTCATTTCTTGTTTTGTAGAACTATTCATGTAATTTCTATTCTTTAAATTTTATTTTTAAATTTTATAGCTACAATATATGGATTAATAAATTGAATTGAAAAAAAATCAGCCAAACCTCGTAACACATAATGAAAAAGTTTATGAGGGACGGAGGAAGTATATATTTTTTTAGGGAAAGAACTTCATTAATAAGTTACCATGGATGATACAAACTCAAGAAGAGTCGAAACCCACAAAGATCACTGACTTCCCTCTCGCCTAGCATGACTATGAGCCATCAATTACATTAGCCTTCCTGACAAACAAAATAGAACTAGAAGAAAAAACAGTCAACGAGGTTTTGCAGTCAGTTACTAAGGTACCAAAATAAGATGAAAGATAGCATAATCGTCCGAAAACCGCCTTAACCAAACGCTCACAATCAACAAAAAGCTCCATATTCTGTAACCCAATTGACTTGATCCACATAAGAGCTTCACGAAACGCAATGGCCTGACAGAGGGAGTATAAAATATTTTCTAACATCATATTATTGAAGAACTATTTCATACTCCCTTTTTGGTTAAAAAGACGCCGATCAATTTTACAAAGTTTACAAAAATGATTAAAAAGTAAAAAATTTAGGAATAAATTTTGTTTAGATATGATATAATGCTTGTAAGTCGTTTTTTTCATAAAAGAAAAGGTAAAAAAATGTAAAATTAATTTTGAAACCGTAAAAAGAAAAATATACTCAATAGAATTTCTTAGAGAATGGAGAGTGTAATTATTTAAGTGTTATGTTAAATACAGGTCGGGCCAACCCAAATTGTGCGGCCCGTGCTTGGACTATCCAAATTTAGTGAGTGTTTTTCTGTGCTTATAAACTGGTCAAAACTACTTATAAGCATCTAGTCAGCTGGTAACATATTTTTGTGTGCTTATAAGCTACTTATAAGTCAGAAAAAATAAATAAGTCTTAGCTACTTTTTTTAAACTTTTTTTTTGTTTTTCCGTTTTAATCAGATTATTTACAATATTGTCCTTAAATTATTTATCTATCATTTTAGTAATTTTACTTTCATAAAAGAATATTTAATTTATAAATAACTTATAAATTAAAAAATATTTAACAAAAAGCCAATAATCGTTAGAAAGAAACAGCTACTTATCGTCTGTTTACTTTGGAGCCATGCCACTCACCAGTCACCAGTGTTAATTGGGTTGTGTTCGAGTTTGGACAAATGAACGGTACCCGCCCGACCCGTTTATCCTAGATCTGAGCGTCTGAGTACAGTATCTGTTGTTGACTGTGGAGCTTCCTTATCGTCTTCTTCTTTGTTCCTCTCCGCCCTTCAAAAAAAACCCACCAACCCGCTACCGCCAGTCCGTCGTCATCGGATTCAACTCCTCCGTGCGCCGGCTAGCTTCTACTAAACCACAACGCCGACACCTCTAATCCGTGTGCTGTGCATCCCGCCCCTGCCTGAAAAATCTCCACTCCGTAGTTGGCACCTTAGTTTTGTTCGTTAATGGCGGAATAGAATCACAATAATGTCAAGGGTCACCAAGTGGAAGCTGGATAAGAATAAAGTTAAAGTGGTATTTCGGCTTCAGTTTCATGCAACACATGTAAGCTTCTTATTCAGTATGTGAAATTGCATTTGATCTTTGAATCAACTTCGTGAAGATACATTTACTAGCTTTTAACTGTGAATCTTAATTCATTTTGTTCTGTCTTCTTTGGTCTAGCTTCGAGCTAGAGTTGGGGTGGGTTTTGTTTTAGCTTCTGTTTAATTTGTAGGTTAGTCTACCTGGAACTTGTGTTTGTGTTGTTTCATGTTTATCCCAATTCGAATTCTAGAAACCATTTTCATTCCAAAGGGTATAGCTAACCACCTGTTCTGGACTTGAATTGTGCATTTACAATAACTCCACAAAAGCCATGAATCATGCTAATCTTGTGGTGTCCAAGTTCATATGGTTAAAATGACTGTTTATGAAAAGGATTATCTTTGGAGCTGCGGGTGCATTCACTAAACTAAGCAAAGGCATGTCTGTTTTGATGCTACAGATTCCACAGAATGGATGGGACAAGTTATTTGTATCATGTATCGCAGCGGACACTGGCAAGACAACGGCAAAGACAACGAAAGCAAATGTGCGAAATGGAACCTGCAAATGGGCAGATCCTATTTATGAAACTACCAGGCTTCTCCAAGACGTTAAGAGCAAAGAATATGATGAGAAACTCTACAAACTTGTTGTTGCAATGGTGAACATTATCTCTGAATTTTATGTTGCCTACGTATATATCTATATCGCCATTATTGATAGTTTACGTCATTCATGGTCAATCCATTTTTACTGGATTGCCAGTTGTAAGGAAATAAAATTCTGAAAAATGTTCTTTTCCGGCTTTTTGGGACCAATAAAACAAATCACGGATCACTTTCCGTTCTTGTATATCTTGTGAACTTTAGTTTTTCGCAGAGAGAAATATGTTTTTGAATTTGATTTCACTGATTATAGGGTTCTTCACGAGCTAGCATTCTTGGTGAGGCTTCAATCAACCTTGCCGAACATGTTGATACTTCAAAGCCTTCCATAGTTGCATTACCTCTTCTTGGTTCTGATACTGGAACTATATTACATGTGAGTCAGGATTTTCCAGATTTTTTTGTTCTCTCTTACCATGTGATGCCTATTTTTTTCTAGCTAAAATCTAAGTTGGAGTATAATTTTTTTACCTGGATAGCCACAATTATTGCGTAAATATGTTGCAATATATTATTAGACTTTATTCCAGTAACTTGATTTTTTTTGTCTTTTCCATTTTACTTGTTTATATTTCTTGATGCTTGGACCTCAGTGGTTTTCTACCTCTTGATCTTAATAGGTTAAAAAACGATCATTTCAATTTAATATTTGAATAAAATCAAATTTTAACAATCTCATTGCTGGGATATATCTTTGATTTCTCAAACGGTTCAATTTGAATTATTGCAAAGCAGTTGCTAACAGATATCTGGTTTTCTGTCTTTGTTATTTCTATTAAGTAAATGTTATTTTTCCAGGTCACTGTGCAGTTGCTAACATCCAAAACAGGATTCAGGTGTGCCATCTTTAAGACTTTAACTGTAAATGAAGATAATTATCCTTAATAACAACTTATTGTAGTGTATATTTCGCTACAGAGAATTTGAGCAGCAAAGGGAACTCAGTGAGAGGGGCTTGCAGGCAGGAGTTGATAATAAGCCCGATTATAAGGGTCCTGGAAAAGTGTCAGTTTCCAGAGATGCTGCCCGTGATGAAATGGAAAAGGTATCAATCTTTGTCTTTAATACAATTTTTTTTCTTCCTCAGAAAAAAAATCTTGCAATGGGTTTACCTGCCTTTACAAAAACCCATTTGCAGGATATGGGTGTCTATTTTTCAGTAAAATGTGAAGAGTACCATGGCATGCGTCATGCCTCTTTTGCAGATCAAGCTTTATGTTGATATAGTTTCTAGGTTATTTGAAAGTATGAAACCATTTTGATTCCTTTTGCGGTGATGCAGGTAACCAGAAAGACTAAATTTAGACCAGATGCCAAAGAACTCTCGTCAGTTGAAGAAGTAGAAGAACCTGGAGATTTGACTGCTGGGTTTGATGGCTCTTCCAACACATCGGAAAGCTTCAATGCCGAGAAAAATGATACCTCAAGTGCACATGAAATTGATAGCCTGAAGAGTGAAGCTTTTGGTGACTCAAATGAACCTCTCCATTGTCAAAGCCCACAACAAAGACAAACAAATTCTTATGAAAGTCAAGCTTTGGCTCATGGGAGTAATGACTCATTTCATGGGTGGGGTTCAGACTGCTCTATGGGCAATGACTTGGCAATTGCACGTGATGACAGCAATCAGATCAGAGCAAGCTTAGAATTGGAAGAATCAAACATTTTTGAGCTTAAGATAGAAGTAAGTTCTATTCAAAGACAAGCCGATGAATTAGGCATTGCAACTGATAAGTTTGCTCACCTTCTTGCTGCTGAGATATCCTCTGGCGAAGAATTGGCAAAAGAGGTGCATGTCCTGAAACTTGAATGTTTGAAGGCCAAGGATGATATTGAAAGACTACAGAATTTACAAATAACCCCTCATTGTACAGAAAAGCAAAATTGCCCCTTAATTCAAGAAACTCAAGATAAATGGATAAAAAGAATTTTACTGCTCGAAGAAAGGTTAACAGACTTCCAAAAAAAGTTGAACCTTGGCTTCCATGAAAGAGAACACAGGTTTCTCCAGTCTGAATTCGAGGCCGTGCTTCAGATTTTGCATGATATAAAGCTAGGGTCAATGGATGAAATATCCTTGTTAAACATTGCACCACACATAAATGCAGATGCAAAAGAGTTAAGCAACAGTTGCTTACAAAAAGCACAACACTCTTTGCCAGGACTCGGTTTGGATTTGGATTTGTGTCCACCTGAAGATATACTTCATCAATTTAGCATGCCTGCCCTAGTTTCTCAAGGACCTAATTTTGATCTCATAAGAGAACTGGATGAGGCAAAGTTTGAAAGGGAAACCCTTGTTAAGAAAATGAATCAGATGGAGTGCTACTATGAAGCACTTGTTCAAGAGCTTGAGGAGAATCAGAAGCAAATGCTTACTGAGTTGCAGAGTCTTAGGAACGAGCACTCTACGTGCATGTATACACTTTCAATCAATGAAGCTGAATTGGACTCCTTACGCCAAGATATGCACCTTCAGATTGCACAACTTGTTGACGAGAATCACAATTTAGACGCCATTAACAAAGAGCTTGGTGAAAGAGCTGCTTCGTCAGAAGCAGCTCTTAGGAGGGCACACATGAACTATTCTATTGCTGTTGAGAAACTACAAAAGGATCTTGAGCTCCTTTCATCACAGGTTGTATCCATGTTTCAGAGTAATGAGAACCTTATCAAACAAGCATTTCTAGAACCTTCAGTGGCAGACGACCTTGAGTACATAAATGGCTTGCAAAACTTAGAACGTTATGATGCTACAAAGCAATTGCAGCTCTACAATGAACATTTAAATTCAAGGAAACAAGCAGCCTGTGGAGATGTCTTTTTAGAGGACTTGAAGAAGTCACTCTGCTTACAGGAAGCGCTTTATGTGAAGGTTGAAGAAGACCTTAATGAAATGCATTCTGTTAATTTCTTCTTGGACATATACTCAAAGTCTCTAGTTGAGACCCTGCTGGAAGCAGATCACAAGTATGCATTAATGAAGAAATATATGAGTGAGCTTGCGCAACATTTAAAGTTTTCAAATGAATGCAAGGATCAGTTAATGGCAAAGCTGCAATATGCTTTGGAAGATATTAGCTTTGTTAAGGAGGAGAAGGTTAGATGCTTGGACAAATGCAATGAACTTGTTCTCCAGAATCAGACTTTAGTGGATAAACTGGAAATGATTTCAGAGGAGAACTGTCTTCTCACAAAGAAGCTCATGGATGGAGAGAGAATTTCAGCAGAATATGGAAATTGCCTGTTTAAATATGAGTCTTGTTTGGAACAGAATGCAAAGTTGTCGAATTTACTAGAGCAAGGAATCCTAGAAAATGACAAGCTCCATACTGAAATATCTGTTCTAAAGGAGGACCTGAGATTGGTTGAGTCAGAACGTGACGAGTTGGCTAAGTCAAAGGAAATCCTTCAGGAAAATGCCAGCTTTATGCAAGATAAGCTGGTTAATTTGTTGGAATCCAATGATCACCAATTGATTGGGACTCATTTGGGAAGATCCAATCATCTTGACTTGGACTTGAATAATCTCAAAGGGCTTTTGGTCCAAGTTGAAGAGATCCAACATAAATCATTTAGCAAGGTTATTCAACTCATGGAAGAGAACAAGCGCATAGAAATTGAAAAACATGATTCCGAAGCGTCCCTTAGCAGAGCGAGTTCAGAAATTCTTGCTCTGAAGCAAAGGTTTAAAATTAATATGCAAGATTTGTCAACTAAATTAAGCACATCTAATGCCCTTGTGGAGAAGCTTCAGCTTGGACTTGAATCTGTAGCAAATAAACTTCAATTCACCGCTGAAATGGATGAAAACCATGCGCTACAGAACATAGTGTTAGCAGATCTCTCTTTCAGTAAGGTTGAACTTCAAAGAAATGAACATTTCTTTCAAGATAAATTGAACCTGGATTATGTTGTAGATGAAATAGAAAGAAGCAGCTCTACAATTGCTCGGTTATTACAAGAGAACTACGACCTCATGATGACGTTGCAAAGTAAAACTGATGAATCTATTAAGCTTGCATATGATATTAGTGGTCTGCAAGAAAACTTGAAGAGTCAAAGCCATGAATTGGATTCTGAGAGAGATGCCAAGGCTGCACTGTTGGTAAAGGTGCAAGATCTTGATTCACAGTTGAATGAGAAGCATGCTATCTTACTAGATTTGAGGCAGCATAATAGTGAGTTAATGCAAGAGAATCATGATCTCACGACCTCTTTGCAGGGCAATATTGAGGATTCTTTTAGGCTTTCATCAGAAGCCAGTGATCTGAAGGAAAAATTGGCAAACCTTCATGATGAGTTGCACTCTGAGATAAATGCTAACGCTCTGCTACAGGCTAAGGTGCATGACCTTATGCATACTTTGGAAGAAAAGAATAATAGCTTGCACAATTTAGAGAAGCATAATACTGAGGTGGTTCAAGAAAAGCAGGAACTCATGATTTCTTTGCAAGGGAAGATTGAGGAATCTGTCAAGCTTGAATCAGAAATTTGTGATCTAAAAGAGAAGTTGAAAAGTCTTCACGATGAATTGCAATCGGAAAAAGCTTCTAAGGAAGGTAGGGTGCAAGATCTTACTATTGAACTGCATGAGAAGCATAACTGCTTGCTTGAACTGGAGAAGTGTAACACGAAGCTAATACAAGAGAAGCACAATCTTGTGTTGTCCTTACAGGGTGCAACTGAGGAATCTGCAAATCTTGGATCTGAAATCAGCCGTCTGAAAGAAGACATGAGAGCACTGCATGATGCATTGCTCTCTGAGAGAGATTCTAAGACCAAACTCGAGGATACTACTCGAGACCTTACCTTTCAGTTAAATGAGAAGCATGGGAGTTTAAATGCAATGGAGATGCAAAACATTCATCTAATACAAGAGAGGCAAGATCTCACAGATTCATTAAAGGGTAAAACTGAGGAGTCTGTCAAGCTGTCATCTGAAATCATTAGTTTGAAAGATAAGTTGAGAAGTCTGTCTGATGAATTGGATTCTCAGAAAGATTCTAATGTTGAATTAGAGGGAAGGGTAAGAGATCTTACTTCTGAATTAAATGTAAAGCATCTGAATATACTTGACTTGGAAAAGCTAAATACCGAACTGGCTCATTTTCGAGAGAGGGCATCAGAGTTAGAAGTGGAGAAATCCCAACTACAGTATCATTTGCTGCAGAGGGATGAGTGCATTGAAAAACTTAAGGAAGATTCATCTCTTCTTAATGAAATGAGAAGTCTTGAACTACACATGCACGAGTCTTTAATAGCTTCTGATGTTAAATTTGTCTTTGCTGTAAACCAATATGGAAGTGTTGTTCAGAAGCTTGAATTATCTGATGGGTGTCTTGGAAACCTTAGGGAGCAATATGATGATCTTCAAGCAAAACAGAATCCTGATTTTGCAAATGAGGCAAATCATTGTGATGAAAAGTTAAAGTTGCTGTCATCCCTCGATACTGTAAGATCTGATCTGGAAGCCTCTCTTGCTCAAAACAAGGTTCTTTCAGATTATAACAATGCTTTAGAGTCGAGAGTAAAGGAATACAAGAATGAAGTCACAAATCTAGAAGTTTGTCTTTCAAAGGCTAAACATAGTCGTGCACTCGAAATAGGACATCTCAAAGACTTGCTGACAATTGCAGAAGAAGAGATTTGTTGCTTGATAGTCTCCAAAGAGGAACTGGGGGTAGTGGTGACTGTGCTCAGAAGCAAATTAGATGAACAGCTTCCTTATATGAGTTTGCTAGAGAAATACCAAGATGAGCTGCTGACGTTACAATCTCAGTTTAATGAGCTTGAGCACAAGCTCGCTCAGCAAGTTTTGAAGACTGAAGAATTCAAGAATTTATCTCTTCATTTAAAGGAACAAAAGGATAAGGCTGAAGCAGAATGTGTGCTGGCTAGGGAAGAAAAAGAATCTCAAGGACCACCGGTTCCCAAGCCAGAATCCTTACGGATAGCCTTTATTAAAGAACAATACGAGACAAAGGTACAAGAACTGAAGCAACAGCTTTCTATGTCTAAAAGACATGGAGAAGACATGCTTTTGAAGCTCCAAGATGCAATTGATGAAAATGAAGGTAGGAAGAGATCTGATGCCTTACACACTAAAAGAAATGAGGAACTAGCCCTCAAGCTCTCGGCTTTGGAATCTGAACTACAGTCTGTACTGTATGAAAAGCGTGAAATTGCTAAAGCTCATGATCGGATAAAGGCAGAACTGGATTGTGCACTTCTAAGCTTAGAATGCTCCAAGGAAGAACAGGAAAAGCTTGAAGCATCTTTGCAAGAATATAAGGGAGAATACTCTAGACATGCAAGAGATGTGTCTACGACAAAACATCAGCTGGAGATTTTTAAGTGCCAAAGTACTAGCAAAGAAGTAAAACATGCAACTGATGAATACCCTAAACCTTTGTCCCCAAATTCCTCACATCAAGAATATTTGGGTTGTCCAGAAAAGTTGGATGCATGCTCAACTCCTGCTGGTGAAAGTGAGGATTTGGCTCTGCTCGACATTTCACAAACAGCTCAGGTAACTTTTAGTGAGGCTAGAGTGATGTTACATAATTTATTGTTGAGATTTTCTCTATATTATAATATCTGCACATGAGTGTTACTTTGTGTGTTTCTAAAAGTGAAGTTTAAAATTGTTCCTTTCAAAGACACATGACACTGTAAGCAATAGGGTCAAACTAAGCGAGCAAACTATTTCAGGAATGTTATATGTCGGCATCTTTAATGCTGGCATATACAGTATCTTTTCCTTTTGTGTAATCTTGGGCTCCTGAGAAGATTCCCCCCCCCCATTATTTGTCAGGTTGTGCTTTCTGTTGAAGGAAAACTGGACACCCAACATCTGTCTATTGAAGAACTTCCATCAACAAGTTATGATGTGAATAACAATCTGTTTGAAATTCAAAATTTGAGGGCTAGCTTGGACCACCTACATGCAGAGGTATTTTTGAATCTTGTGTTGCTTTACTTCGGAATTTTGATATTACAAGAAACCTACACACACACACACATGTGTGTGTGTGTGCGTGCGCGTGCGTGCATTTGTGGGTGCGTGTGTGTGTGATCTACTTGGAACTGAACTTTGAGAAATAAAGCAAAAAAAATGCCTATGGCTTGCAGTTGGAAAGGATGAAAAACGAAAACTCTCTTGTTCCCAAGGATCATAATTTTCACCCAGATTTTCAGGCTTCCCAGAGAGAACTTGAACAATTACACAAGGTATACACTATACAGACATTTTTCTTTTCTTCTAGCGTATGAGATCGCTATCAAATCATTTTATAATATCTTTTATGCTCCCTCCGCCCCCAAGATCTTTACGTTTACTATTCACAGAGTCTAGATATACTACGTATAAATTATATTTCTTAATTTACACCAATATTTAAACAAATTAAATCAATGTAAAGATCTTTTTGGGATGGAAGGAGTATTCAACATAATCACTGCTGATCATTTTGCTCTTTCTTTTTCAAAAGACAAACGAAGATCTTAGAAGCATGTTTCCACTTTTCAATGAAATTACAACCAGCGGCAATGCATTGGAAAGGGTCCTTGCACTGGAGGTAGAGCTTGCTGAAGCTTTGAAGCAAAAGAGCGAATCAAATATCATTCACAGGTAGTAATACACTGTCTTTCAATTTTCACACTCCCTCTTGTCCCTACATTAGTTCCCAGTTTGACCAGGCACGGAGTCAAAAGATGAAAGGCGTGTGACTAAGATTTTTATAGAAGATAAAGAAATAATGTGAACCACAATGTTTTTCTCAAAAGAAAAGGAGTGATTATTTTGGGAAACGGGTGAAAAAAGAAAGTGTGGTTTGTCTACTAACACATATAGCTTGTTCTATTTATTTTTGGGCGGCGTTCTCTTGCATTGTGTTTTGAAACCATTACTTCATACATCACCCAGTTCCTTCTTCAAGCGACATAGTGATGAAGAAGCCATCTTCAAGAGCTTTAGAGACATTAATGTGGTGATTAAAGAAATGTTGGAGCTAAAGGCAAGGCATGTTGCAATGGAGAATGAACTGAATGACATGCATGACAGATACTCCCAGCTAAGCCTCCAGTTTGCCGAGGTTGAAGGTGAAAGACAGAAACTGAAGATGACACTCAAGAATCTTCGCGGGTCTCGGAAACTTTATCAGCTAAGCCACTCCTCTTCCACCACCATCCCAGCTGATAGTTTTTCCTCATAGTAAAATCTTACTATTCAACAGCATATAATGATAACAATGAGTCTGCCTCTGATCGCCAAAAAATGAAACCTTGATTTTGTTTTTCATTCAGCTGATATAGGCTCTGTAAATACCAGTTAGTATGGAGCAGTGTGGTAGAATCTAATTGTAAGCTCTTATCTGTAAGGTTTATTAACAGTTTGATAAAACATTTGCAACAATATTTTAAAAGAATTTTAGATTTTCAATAAGCAATATTGTATAAGCTTGTCGTGAAATATTAATAACTTTTGGTATTATCAGTTTATAGTCATTTTTTATACATTACGGATACTACGTATTTGGTTAAGCACAAAGTTAAGCAGCCAAAAAACAGTGAAGACGACCAATGCTCTTTTTGGTAACTACAGATACTTCAGTCTAAATGGGTTATGCCAAACTAAACTTTACCTTCTCTAAAAATCAACAATTCCAGCCAAATACATCTTTCAGAATGAACAAAGAGCTTAGCAATAAGGGCACTTGTAATATGCAGTATGAAGGTGCATAAATGGTAGATAAAACATAAGCAAACATCATAGTGTAGGATCACACTTTGTTTCAACACATTCTTTAACAATGAATTCGGAACAAAACAAGAAAGAAAAAAAAAAGAAACAAAGCCAACCTATGAGCTCTTCTCAACAACATTTTGTCTCCCTTCCCACATAATGGATGCCAACAGACAATTAATAATGAATAAAAGGTTGGGTTTCAAACTTCTGGGGCAAAATCAGCCATGTCCTCACCGCTTTCCTTGACTTCTGCTATCTTCTACTCAGGGAATTACAATTTACAAGGAACCACCTTTAACCATACCAGACTAGAAGGCCAATTCTTTAACAGGTTGAAGATACCGAGCCGAATTATGATTGTTTGTCAGATGAGTTACATGATCGAGCATGAACAGTTGCTCTTTATGGGGGTGTTGTCATCTTTCTTTCTATCTGTGTGACAAACAACCAAATCATCAGTGCTAGAATGTATCAAGAAAAGTATCACGAATAAAAATTGAGAAGAAATGATGCATGGTATTGATTACTTCATACTAGCAGAAAAAAACGTTAGCAACTAATGTGTTGCTCCATTATTTTGAATTACCTTTGCTTTTGTCCAACACAGGATTTTGCACAACAGCATGCATAGTGATGACACCTTTTTCTGCAACCCCGGGAGGCATAATTAAAAACTCGGAAACTTTTTTGTTGTTTTCAAGTATCTTCCCATTGATAATGAGCTTCAAACCCTTGATGTCCTTTGGCCCATTTTCTTTATCTGCTGAATTGAAACTAGTAAAGTGAGCATAACATTTTCTCCCTAACAATCATTGCCCTTCAACAAAAACTATAGTACGGAGTAACAAAGATCACAAGGTAAGACACTTCCCAACAAAGACAGAAAGGCAACACCTTCCAAAGAGCAACAAAATGAACAATAAAATCAAAGTAATAATTTTACACCTAAGGGCTAAAGCAATACAAACAACTCATTCATATATCTGATGTTATTTTACAATCAATGTGGAGTGAATATTTCTTTACTTTTTATTTATGATGCATTCCATTATGAAAAAGGTTTGTTCTGTTTTCCTGTAATGCCTAGTTCTTGTAGCTGCTGAAGATCAAACCTGAATGTGGTTATACATCAGGAAATGTTCTTTCCCCAAAGCACGCGCACACACACACACATATAGTGAACAATTGAGGAAAATGAATCTTAACCATCATGGGAAAAAAACAGCAAATAAAACCGAATCATCATGGGAAAAATTACAGCAACAAGAGGACTTAAACCTTTGGGCCATAATTCAAGTATCTTGTTTTTTAGGGTTTCCACAGTGCTAGTGGAATCATACTGGTGCGGTCCAAGATCACTGCCATCAACAAGTCTGAATTTAATATCAACTTTGTATGTTTTGTTATCAACTGGTGCTCCTTCTGCCTCCATTAAAACCAACCTCCTCAGAATCTCATAATACGACCACAGAACCCAATCCGAAACAAGCCAGGATCTTGATTTCTCTCTGCCCTCCCTTCCGAAATCAAGAAAACAGACAGATCCAGCGCCGAATTAGAACCCTAGGCAACGAAACAAACGAAAGATCCACAGATCAGGTCTCTGGGGTGACACCCAATACAAAATCTCGCGGAAGGGATGACCTAATAATAATCCGAATCCCGCCCCAGATCTCAGGCAGGACTCGCACCGCTATTCTTTGATCGGAGACAGAAATCGGAGTATGAAACTGTGGAAGTGTCGTCAAAATGACGGAGCCATGTGGAATTGAATATCCCTTTCTTCTTCGTTCCTGAGATTGAATTCGGTGGCTAGGCACAGAAATACATCGAGAGAGAATTCTTCCAAAAGGGGTTATTAGCCACTTTGAAGAAATCTAATCTAAATACAGAGAGAAGAGTATGAAAAGCGACAGTTTTTACTGGTAGTTGTAAATAGAGATCCTTTATATACGCGTTTAGACGATTTCCACCCGGCAGAGACCCGACAATGCAATTGTTTAGTAATTTCCATTTCTTTTTTATTTTTAATTTTTTTCTCTCTTTTGCTTTTGTATGGTGGGGATGGAGCGGAGTACGAATGGAATACAGTATTTGGTGTACTCCTAACATTTTTTGAAAAAAAGTGAGTACTCTCAGCATTTTTTGCCTTTGCCAACTGTATAGTGCCCATCGATTTTACCAATTGTTTAGTTACTCCCTCTGTACTTGGTGCTTTATCCGTGTAATACTGTGTCTCCTTTCATATTTTTGTGCAGGTTGAGCCGGGGGTCTATTGGAAACAGCCTCCCTACTTCCGAGTAGGGACAAGGTCTGCGTACACACACCCTTCTCAGACCCTACTGTAGTGGGATTCAATTGGGTTGTTGTTGTTGTTGTTTAGTTACTCCCTTCGTCCTAAAACTATCTTCTCGTTTGTGTTTACGAGTTTTGACTAACTTTATTTTCAATTCAATTTATTTGATTGTATGTGTAAAATTAACAAATAGAATTTATATATTTAAAAACTACATCAAAAGGTCTACAAAACAAAAGGTAACAAGACTATATTATTTTATCAAATAACTAACAAAAATAGGTAAAGAAAGTGATTTAAGTTTGACCATGTAAATAGTAACTGGGAAGATAGTTTTAGGCCGGAGGAAGTATTCTATACTCCATCCTTCTTAAATTATTACTAATAAATTTTTACCAAAATTATTTTTATTTTAATTATTTGAATTTTAGCATAAAGTTTTAAAATATAATTAAGGAAAAGAGGATTGAATTGAATTAAAATCAGAATAAGCGTATAATTAATAAAACCATATTAGATCCAATCAGCTACGACGAGAACAAGCTCTAAGATGTACGCGGCCGCCTCTGAAACTTTGGACCGACACTGAACACGACTTGTTCTAATTACTCACTCCCCCCCCCCCCNTCTATTTTCGAATAAAGTACAAAATCTAAATTCTTTTTTATTAATTTTATGGAAAAATTTATACGAATATTCCCAAAAATACGACTTTTTACGAAAAAATATTCCCAGATTTGATATTAACACCATTGCTCCAAACTACGGAGTAATTTATATTTTCATGACATTGCTCCTACTTTCTAGTCAGCTCCTGCGTAGAAAAAAAAGGTTTACTTATGTTTTGAATACTCTTTTTTCAGTTTAATTTTATTAAAAATAAGAGCCCTATGTCTTCTTCATACGCACTATACTTGTACTTTTGTTCCCTCCTATTGTATTTTTTATCCCTTCATAATCTTTTTTTATTTGATTTCCCTAAGTTTAAAATGTTTATTACTAATACTCCATCTATTATAAATTAATAGTTTGGGTTTGATTCTCAGCGGAGTTTAATAAAATAAAATTATATAATTTAAAATGATATAAATGGAGTAATTACCTTTTCCAAAAATAAAGTATAGTAAATAAAATTGTATTTTTAAATAATTATAAGACCTAGGACTCCCATTTTTAATAAATTTAAAATAAAAAAATAGTACTAAAAATTCAAATCGGTTTTTTCAAATAGGAGCTGATCGGACAAGTGGGAGTAATGACGTGAAAATATAAGATAGTTGGGATCGAAGCAAATGAGTTAATTATTAAATCTAAGAATATTTTTGTAAAAGTCATATTCTTGAAAGTATTAGTGTTAATTTATCCTAATTTTATTTATAAATTGATAAAAAATAAATATTACAACATAATCGTGTGTAGGGTAGCTGCATACTTTTTACAGACCAAACACAAGATATTCGTGTTTGTCACACAGGCCATTATAGTTAGGTACAAAATATGGAATCACCCATGTAAGGTTACCCTAGCTTTGTCTTACTTAAAACTACATCAAATGTTATATAAAATAAGTAGTGATATGACTATTTTATTTTATCAGATAGTCAATGAATTTTGTTGTATCAGATGGTCAACGAAATGCATATCCAAAGAAAAATTATCAAAAGTCTGAAGTAGATGAGAGTACGATACTCAATCTAATAACACATAGTGAACCCATACATCGACCCATGCTAGAAATCAAACGTGAATGAGTTTCTCCCATTCAGACCAAAGAGAAACTCGGACGGAGGGAATAGTATGTTTGTGAACAAATTTAATAAGGTGTAATGTTCAAGTGGATGGTATCATAATTCAATAATCAATACAATATTTTTTCTTATAATTCAATATACTCCGTCCGTCTCAAAAAATATTTCTTGTTCTGCCTATTAAACTTTCAAAAATTTTTGTTTAGGTGTACTTTTTCATTAGTTATTAGATAAAATAAAATATTTTCACTACCACTTATTTTGTAGAACTTTTAATGTAGTTTCTAAATATGTAAGCTATACACGGATCGGAGTATTTTTTATTTCGATGCCAATTTATAAATAAAATCATTCTAAAACAAATACTCCGTAATATTTTACACGCCATTCAAAACGGGAAAAGTTTTTCATGACGGAAAGAGTACTTTTTCCTACCAAATTGTAGTTAAAATTTATAAATGCCTAGCACAAGATTTCACGGGACGTCACGAGCTTAATATGCAGTAATTGTCGAGATAACATCATCGAGCTTAATAGCGTTAGCGCTTTGGTTAAAATTTTAATGGAGTAGATTAATTCTGAACACGCTAACGCTAAAGCCTATTATCAGATTACCTTTTCAAAACGTCAACGTTAATCTCTAACACTGATGTCAAACGGATCGCAACGAGAATCGGATTTTCACCATTTTAGCGCCAAAGCATTTTTTTGAAGAATGTATAGTCCGTATATAGTACTTGGGGATTTGATAAGCTGGATGGATTAAGAGATGCATTGTATTTTTATATGTACAAATTAGAATTGTACAAATACACAAACCGCATAAGTACGAGTAGATTGATTTGGTCCCAATGTCCAATTGTTTTTTCATCTTTGGTAGCAAGGAGGGTGTTATACTGACACCAAAGTTGACATCTTAAATGATAATCATTTGTGAATAGATGATACAATCATTTGTGATCACTAAGCATTGTACAATTTATGTAAAAAAAATTTCAGACTATTATCGTATATGGTGTCAGATTTAGAATTATAATCGGTGTTGGATAAAAAAAACTTGCAAGATTTTTCTAGTTCTTTCTAGTTTTTTAATTTCTTTAGGTTTTTTTTTCCAGTTTTTTCTAGCTTCTTCCAATATCAACTTTTTTTCCAGTCCTAAAGACCATGGTCTAAGCCACTACTAACAAGCTACTTGGATTACTAAAAAAAGGATGACACTTCATCCTCGAGTGCCCTTCAGACTTGCCCGGGACTATATAGCTAAGAGGAGGAATTAGGTAATATTTCAAGTACGCAATAAGGAATTAAATCGGTTTCTAGTTTCTGCAAATGATCGATGATGTTTATGCACGGCATAAATATCCAACTCTATCCTTGGGCTCTTGGCTAGTAGTCGAACCTGGCCATACGTTCTTTGGGATTCTTATTGACCAATTGAATATTGTTCCCGGGCAAAAGAATTCCAATCGGAACAAAAAAACAACTAGAGAGAAAATGCAAACAAAGAAAACTAATTAAAAAAAACACAAGGTTACAAATTGTAACCTTGTGTTTTTTTAAATTATTTTTTAATTTAAAAAACACAAGGTTACTTTATTACAATCTTATACTCCCTCCGTCCCATAAAGATGGGTACATTTTGACTAAAGTAGAAATTAAGGGAGGAATAATTTTGTGTTGACTTTCCAAAAATACCCTTGATGTGATGGGTAAAAGTATGATGTGATGTGTAGATTATTAGGAAAAAGATATGATGTGATAGATAGGGTTTGGAAAAGTAAGGGGTAAAAGTGGTTTTTTAATAGAAATGGGTAAGGGATTGTGGGACACAATTTTTTTGAAACGTGTAAATCTTTTTGGGACGGAAGGAGTACAAAAAATGTCACTTTAAATCATCAGGTTCGATTTGGTACAGAAAATTCAAATTATAGAATTTATATTAGAGACAACAATTCCAATTCTACTATTTAGTGGCAAAACAATATGAGGATTTGGAATTGGTAATGCAAAAAATAAATTGGAATTGGAGAGTTCAATTCCATAGAAATTCAATTTTTAATTCAATTTCAATTTCGTGTACCAAACGGACCCTCATAGTTTTCCAATTTCTCTTATTTATCTATTCTACAGAAAAGTGATGCTTGCATAGTCTTAAAATCCACATTTAAAATATAGACATTCCCACATTTTTCATTGGCTTACATGCAAATATATTTTTTTGAAAAAAACTCACTTCTTTTATGTTACAAATGCACTGGGGTTTATAACGCTTAGGTCCACGAAAGAATTTGCATTCTACCAAACATGTAGAAGTACAACCTATTTAATTTAAATTCTTTTCTTGTTGGAACTTCTCCCCTATACTAGCTTGAGTGGAAAGAAACACATTCTCTAGGTTCATGGGGAAGAGTTGATTTTTTGTGCGTCATTAGGTTGAGAATATTATGAACATATACTATCTTATAATAGTGTCAACAATATTTTAAAAAAATTCTTTTCTTGTTGAATTGTTTTTACACTTTACTCATCCAAATTTTCTAATAATATAATCCCGCTATTTTTCTATTGTTTTTTCTCAACTTTTTTCTCTTCATTCCATTTTTTTCTATTTTCTCTCCTCTCATTATTTTAGTAATAATTGTCATACCCATAAGTATAATATCTACTCAATTTTATAATTTCGACTTCCTTGCCACAATGCCAATATGTTTCGACTCTTATCTCATTTCGGACCTGTTTGGGAATAGCGTTAGAGATTAGCGTTAGCGTTTTGGATAAAATTTTAACGGTGCAGATTACTTTGAAAACGCTGCCCGTAGTTAGCCTTTTCAAAACGGTAACGCTAATCGCTAACACTATTCCCAAACAAGCCCTTCATATTTATCTCATCTAAACAAAGTGTAACTCGATATACCCTTTGATAATCCATAGAAAACTTTGTTAAATTTTAAAGTGCGTAGAAAATTTGGCGACAAATTCAGTAGGAAAATTTTTTTTTTTTTGGGGACATACTCCTAAGAAGTCTTTAAATTTTCTTTATACTTTTCTTAATTTTCTGTCCAAAAAATTTCTTTCCATATTTTATACTCCCTCCGTCCTATAATGATCTTTCCGGTTCATTTTACGAAGTTTAACCGACTTTATTTTCAATTCAATTTATTTGATTGTAGGTGTAAAATTAAAAAATAAAAATTATATATTTAAAAACTACATTAAAAGTTCTACAAAACAAGTGGTGACAAGACTATATTATTTTATCAAATACCTAATGAAAATAGGTAAAGAAAGTGATTAAAGTTTGACCGTGTCAGAAGTGTGTGAGAAGAACATTATAAGACGGAGGGAGTATCAAATATTTTTTATTTAAAGGTAATTACTACCTCATTTTTACACACTTCTCCGTCCTTAAAAAAATTACATATTTTAATTTTCAAAAACTACGGAAATTTTAATTTACTTGTGTATCTATAAATGCATAGATTTTATTTTTACCAACCTTAAAAATAAAGTGAGAGTATAATTGATGTATTTTTATTTATTTGTGCTCCCAAAAGAATTTCTCGATATGCATGTATGTCACTTTGAAGAAAGTGAAGAGTAATGGATTCTGTGTGGATTTGGATTCGGGAAATACGTAACCGAAGAATCGAATCAAAAGATATACATCTTCTCTTTAATTTGTACGTAGCTCCAATTAGGTTTGAACCGGAGGAGGTATAGCCGCCACAGCGCCGATAATAAACGAATTCGCACACTTATTTACCCCGCCGCCGCCGCCGCCGCAAGGGTCCGTTATAAGCGATCCACAGCCGTTCATGAGTCCAGATCTATCCTCTAATGCCGCATCCGCCGTCCGATCGCCCTGATCGCGCTCATCCTCATCCGCGATTTCATCTGCGGGAACAAGGAGGACGTCGAGCGGAACGAGGCGGAGACGGAGGCGGCCGTCAGAGCGGTACGCCTCGAAGTACTCGTGGCGTTCGGATTTCTCGCCGGTAATCACCAGTCTGCCGTCCTCCGTGTACCGCCGCTTCATGATCCAGGGGACTCTGGAGGAGGGGGAGTTCCCCGTCCTGGCAAGCCACGGCAGCGGCGGCGGAAACTGTGCGGTGGACTTGACGAGTCCTCCCTTCCACTCAACTCGGCGGCGACTCATTGACGACTCGGAATCGGCCGCTCCAATAATGGAATCGAAACAGCTCTCGCCCATCTCCAGAAAACGAATTAATTGAAAAAAATTCAGCCGCCGATTGAATCTCCGAGTTCCGAGTGATTCCTCCTCAGATCCGATTTCCGATCGGAAAGTGAAATTCGTTAATTGGAATAGAGGAAGGGATAGAGTTTGAGTGTATGCATGGGATGGATGATTGTTGAGTAGTGGGGTAGAAGATGAAGAGAAGAAAGGGGTGTTGGGGTTTGAGTAATTTAACGAGGAGAATAGAAAACGTACGGATGTGGACATTTGAAGATGAAATATACTCCGCATATATATATTTGTAAGAAAAAAAATTACTCCGTATTAAAGAAATAAATCAGATAAATACTCCTTTTCCTCTCACAAAGATTTACTCGTTTATTATTTGAATTATTTCAACATATTTTTTTTTTTAGTTTCATTACTCATTCAAATATTTTCCATCGGATGCACGATTTGTTATTCCGTGATCTTTATATCCACATGTTAAATGTAGAATTTTATTATATTTTTTATGAGCTGACAAGTAGGACTCTTTTTATAAAAGATTTAATTCTTTTAAGATATCATTGCAATAATGTCTATAAAATAAGCATGTACACTAGGGTCACAGAAGAATAATTCAGTCTAGATGCATATAACAATTTGTCAATTAGTCCAAAAATATAATCGGTCTCATAACTATTTTCCTAATTTTCATTTTAATATTGGGAAATTCTTCTGTAGTCCTAAAGTCTAGAATCATTTTATAAACCTTGATATAAAAATACCATAGATAAGTTGAGCTCTTTTAAAAAAATAGAACATGTCCATGTCGGCCATAAAAAATATGTGAAGGTCTACATTTCATATGTGGTCCTTATTTAAGATCATAAGATCATGAAAGAATAACTTTTTAATAACAGTTGTGTGGTTTAGATTAATAATCTAAGAAGTATACAATAAAAATCAAATTATGACCAATCTTTTAGAAACATGGGGAATATGTATTTTTACAATAAATCAAAATATTAAGAGTCAAAGTATTAGAAACCCTTGAGAAATAAAATCATGAATTAATTTTTGGACAAAAAAAAATATATCGATCAATTCCCGTAAAAAGAATTACTCCGTATCAATCAATTATGGAATTATGTTTCCCTTAAAAAAAAACCGGGCAATTATGGAAATTTGTTTGAGAAGAAAAATAAAGTTGGAATGATATGACAGCTAAGAAACGGGTGGCTTAGAGTCATTGAAATTGGGATTCCGTACGGATTTTATGCTTTATTTTCCTTATCTTGATCTTTTGTTAAAGGATTGTGCTAATATCTCCCACCTTCTGCCACCAATTTTGCACTTATATTTAATACTCCCTCCGTCCTAAAATTAACTTCCCATTTGCCTTTTCACGGTCTTTAATGCGACACTTTGACCATTAATATCTCAATTTTTATATAAATATATTTTATAAAAATTATATATTTCAAAATTATGTTCCAAAATGAATCTATTCCTAATAAATTTATATGAAAATTCAATGTATTTTTTCCTTAATCTACGGTCAAAGTTTAAAAAGTTTGACTGCAAAAGTCAAACTGGGAAATTAATTTTAGGATGGAGGGAGTATCAGGAAAAACATTTAGGATACAAAATGGAGTGCAAATGTAAAGTCCAAAAAAAATTTTCTTTGTTAAAATATAGGCTAGACCACTTAAATTTTGTTCATAGTGCTATGGGAATATTTTGTCTTTTTTGTGGTTAAGATTGAAATATTTGTTAATTTGACAAATATTAAGTTTTAGTAATCATTATTTTATTAAATTTTAATATTCGTATGACTTTAAATTTTTCAAAATAATAAACTCTCAATCTACATGCCTAAATAAACGTAATGTACTCTTGAAAAATATTACTCCTACAAATTTTAAGGACCTCGAAATATATTTCAAATGATGTGAGATCTGAGAATTTTTACCAAAAAACAATGGTACCATCGAATATATTTTAGATAATTTGGAACCTCGTCAATTCACACAATAAATCGAAGGTATCACGGAGTAATTTTCTATTTGGTCAGGGTCGAAACCAATGAGTCGATCCCATGGTCGGGGTCTGAGTAAATTAAATTCTCGTACTTTTTTTTATATTCCCTCCGTCCCAACATGTAAGCAACAATTACTATTTCAGTCTCTCGATAATTTTTTTTGTTTACTCATTTTGATTGACCATTTGATAAAATTAAATATTTGTTGGTTTCTTAATTATTAGATAGAATTCTCTTAAAATTAAATATTTTTTGGTAAATATTGCGAGAAGGGAAATGATGATGTGTGAAAGTGTGAGTTATTTGAATTGATTGAGGTAGAATTCTCTTAAATTTTAATTTGGTTAGAATTATAAAAATAAATAAAAAGTGAGGAGAGAGTAAAACTGGCGTGATTACTATCATAACCTTAGAGCACTGGTAATACCCCTCACGCCCACCGGCGTTACGGGGCGTTTAACGCCCCGGGGGCGTGAAACACCGCCCCCCGCCGGCGTGAAACGGGCGTGAGGGCGGCTGCGTCATTCCTTTGACGCGGCGTGAGTTCGGCGCTGCTCCCTCCTAACGGCTAAAAAAGCCGTTGCACCCCAATTTAAAAAAAAAAAAAATTTTCCTATAAATTCAACCCTCCCCTAAAGTGGACGCCGGAGGAGGAGTGCATATTGGCGTTGGCTTGGGTTGACGTCTCCGAGCATCCTATCATTGGTAAAAAATTTGTTTTTTTAATATATTTATATTTTTATTTATATATATTATATTTAATGGTGTCAAAAAAAATTGTGTAATACTTTTTTAAAGGTACGGAGCAAACGAAGGATGCGATGTGGGATCGTATCGAGGAGAAGTTTTTCACGGCGATGGAGAAGGACGGCTCCTACCGAACCCGTGACCAACTCACTTCCAAATGGAGCCACATCAACAAAAAAGTACGAAAGTTTATGGGAGTATACGAGGAATGCTCCCGGTCCCGGAGGAGCGGCATGAACGACGCCGATGTTCTCCGGCTTGCCACGACCCGGTATCAAGACGACGGGAACTAAGGCAAGGTGCCCATCGATATTTGGGGGATTTTGAGTCGTTCCCCGAAGTGGCAACAACTCAACAATCCCGACGGCGTATCATTCCGGAAAAGATCCACCGTCGACGCCAGGTTGAGGTCGACGAGACCATCGGTTCTACCGATCAAATCCCTTCCTTCAACGTTGCGGCTTCCGATGACGAGGACCCCATTCCACGACCGATCGGAAGAAAGGAGGCAAAATCCATTGCCTCTGGTTCGGGAGGGTCCGCCTCTATTTCCGCTTCTCCCCGCGACGAAGTCGGCCGGGCAATGGTTGAACAACTTCGGGCGTTCAATCTCCAAGAACAAGAGAGGTTGAAGCTTAAAGAGAAGGAGTTGAAGCTAAAGGAGCAGGAGGCCGAGATGAAAGTCATGCAAACCGACCCTGGGACGTTGTCGGAGTTTGGACGAATTATCTACCACTACAAGAATATGATGTAATTGCAACGGCACGTTTCGTTGCATTTCTTCAATAATTCCATTGCTAATGCTTGTTGCAATAGCTTTTTCGTTGCAATTTAGCCGTTGCAAAAACCCTTGTTGCAAACGCACTCCTGCAACAGAATTTCCGTTGCAGAGCATTGCATCGAAATGCTGCAACAGAAGCATTGCAACGAACATTTCGTTGCCACATTTTGCAACGGTAGTTCCGTTGCAATACATTGCATCACAAGTTTGCAACCATTTGTTCCGTTGCAAAAAAATTGCCACAGAAAAAGCGCAACAGCAACTCCATCGCTAATGTTTGCTACGGAAAAAAATTAATTGCAACAGAAATTGGTAACGTATCGATTGCAACAGAATGCTCCGTTGCAAGATTCCAAAAATGCACAACGTAGTGCTTGTTCAATATCATACCATGCACAATCTATATACAGGGGATACTCAAACACACATGTATTCAACAAAGCCAAAATTTCAATACTATTCATTAATCAAAATAACCTCCAAGTACTTATTAAACATCTGAATAATAATATCTGATCTATTCTTGTAAATAAAAACAATTAAAGCATTATTAACTAACATAAAGGTGCCCTTCTGTCTCCATCGGGTCCATCTTCCCTACGGGGTAAACGATCTCCAAACAATTTATGCATTTCTTTTAGGATTGTTTGAGCAATGGGTTCCCGAAGCATCTGGACTATATCCCCCTTCAAAGTTAGCATCGCAGAGGGTTGAGAGGCAGCATAGGATTCGGCAGCGGAACTTACACTTCTACGTCGGCGTTTGAAAGATCTCTCCCGAGACATAGTCCTTGACATCTTGCCTACTCCAAAGACACGGTTTTTAGGATCATGTCCATCAACCGAGTAGTAGTATAACTCCTCCTCGAAGGCTTGAACATTATCCTTTTGTGTGATCTGCTCCATTGCATCAGTCGCCTTCACACATTATTACAATTTTAGCATAACATATGTATTATGACGTATGCGCACAAATGACATATATACTATGATGTATGTTAATGTGTTTCAAATAAAAACAACCACCACACTACACTACCCATACAGTGAGCAATTCGAGCAAGGGTTGGGAACTATATATATTTCAAATGGAGACAAGATCACTAATTATCGGGTGTCCAATGCATGACAGAAAAAGAAAGATTAAAATGGGGAAAGAGCATTGGGGGTGGAAATCAGGTGAAAAGGCAAATAAGCAATGGAAATGGAAGACTACTTGCCGACAGAATAAGATATGAGCAGCAATCCAAATATTCCCTAAATGCCCCTTTTTTGAGAGGAGAACATGCGAGTAGAACATGTTAATTCCTCTACTTCTTCCCTAGAGACAAATATCATGATGACCTCACTTACCCTCTCTGTTTCCATCCTTTTTCTCACTTTGACTCTTTATTTTCTCTGTTTTTTCGTTCTTTTAAATCTAGAAGTTTTTGCGCACAAATGACATATATACTATGATGTATGTGCACAATTGACTAACTTACCGCTACTTCTCGTGATTTGTCATCAACAAATGTTACTTGATCATGTTTCTTTGTCTTTGTTCATAAAAAAGTACGAATGAGGGCTCGTTTCTCTCCTCCAGTCTTTCTTTATCTGTATATAGCGTTAATTACGTAATTGAACTTCACAGGTTATATACAAGTAACATATGAAGCTAATCTTATCATTTCTATTTATTACTTCTTACCGCATTTGTGAGATTTTCTCGAAATGACAAGGAACCACTTGTGTATGTTCCTGTGGCACAATTATCTAGGCTACCTTTCCGCCTATTTTTTTCCTTGTAGTGAATTTTTCTTGGATTCATCAGTTACCCAATCCTGTAAATAGTAAAGAAAAATATTCATATCAAAAGATTTGGACGACTAGAAAGAATATTTACACTTGTCCGGTTGTTCGTGACACATAGATCATTAATTACATAAACAATTGCTTTGAATAAATTCCACCAAAGTATTCACAAATTGAATGTGGAGATATAAAAATATACATAAGGAAATTACGAATTGCCTGTTTGATAAGAGTTATTGGGCAAAAAAGCAGGAATTGCTGCAATTTCTATGAAATTTCAAACATGTAGTTCATGAACTATGTATTCTAATTATTCAATTAGTAGTATATTAAACATGCAGAGCCGAAACACCCTTTTTCAAAATCTTACAATGCCCATTCTGCTTTAACAAAAGAAGCTTATCAGTAAACCACCATCATAGGTCAAAGCATTATCTATGATTTATACCTACCAATTAGCCCATCTAATTCCCAAGAGACTAGAAGCTACTGTAATTTGAGTCAAACTATATACACAGAAGATATGGAAGAGAAGCTGGCCTTTGAAGTACACAAAATTAGCCTTGCCCATGACATAAACATTTCGAGCAACCCTGAGGAGAGTTACAACGTTGATAGCAAGGGCCAAGTAGTCGCCATGAAGTTGGGAATTTGATCGAACACATGGCGTGCATAACCCCCACCCCACCCCAATTTTATCGAATACATGGCGCATAGCTCCTACCCTTACTCGAAATCACAGCACCAATATCGGCTCAATCCCCTCCCCCACGCTCAATCGCAGCTAACCCCCCCC